AGTAAAATTCTTTGCAAAAATTCAATTACTTTGAATACAATATTTAATGAAAGAATAAAATTTTTAATAAAATTTCACGAAAGAATTCAATTATTTTTTAAAATTTTAATAAAACTTTACAATTCAATTATTTTTTTAAATAGTAAAATCTTTGCAAAAATTCAATTATCTTCAAAAAAATTTCACAATATAATTTAATTTTTTTCTTAATTTGTTGTAAAATTTTTCATAAGAATTCAATTATTTTCTAAAATTTTTAAAAATCCTTCAAAAAAATTCAATTTTTTTTAAATTTTTAATAAAAATTTTCGAAAGAATTAAATTATTTTCTATATTTTAATAAAATTCCTTAAATTAATTTAATTATTTTAAAAAATTGTAATAAAATTCTGAGAAGAATTTAATTATTTTCTAAAAATTTTCATAAAATTCAATAATTTAATTGGTTAATTTCAATTATTAGGAAACACGAATATTTTAAAAACTTGGAAAGAAATTGTTCATAAAATTCAATTACTGGCAAAATTTTCAATTAAAATTATTAAAGATACTCTTTTAATTAATAAAAAATTGAATGAAATTCTTCAAAAGAATTTAATTAGGATTTTCAAAAATGTTAATAAAATTCTTGTCAAGAATACAATTATTTTCATAAATAATAAAATTCTTGTCAAGAATACAATTGTTTTCATTAATAATAAAATTCTTCGGAGAAATTCAATTATTCTCAAAGTTTTTGATAAAATTCTTTGCAAGAATTCAATTATTTTCATAAATAATAAAACTTTTCGAAGAAATTAAATTATTTTCAAAATTTTTTTTTTATAAAATTTTTTTAAAAAATGTAATGATTTTTAATATATTAATTTTAAAATTGAAAATACTCTAAAAGAAAAATTATTAATAAAGGTAGGAAACAAAGACGCAAACAAAAACTAATTTCGAACTGCAAAATATAGATTTTTCAAAAAAGAAAAAAAATTTTCATAAAAAATATTCCCTCCTAAATTTTCATTATTATATACACAACGAAAAACTTGATTTCAAAATAGAATCATTAAATACAAATGATAAACATGATTTTTGTATCTGGAGTTTTTTCTCTCTTTTTTTTTTGTTTTGCATCGAGTTTTGTTATAAAAGTCTGCAAAAGATAATAATTAGCATTTTATTGAAAGAAATGCAAATTTTTTGATAAATAGAAGCATTGAAACAATGGGTGAAGGAATTTTGTTTTTCTCGCATTTTTTATTTTAAACCATCAATTTATATTTTAACGAGATTCATTAAAATACATCATGATTTATACCATAATAGATTATGCGCCATAATACAACTGCGATTACGTGTGTATATGCATCTAATTTGTCATGTAATTTGTATAAGAAATTGAAGGATTTCATTTCCACACTTTATGATTCTAATATTTATACTCTAGTGTATAATTTACCAAAGAAATAATAATAGAAAGGTGTGACACTTTTCATTGTCACATATGAAGTACATTTTTATTTTTCATCGTTATTTCTTTTAATTAATTATTTATAATATATTGAAAAAAGTTTAAATTTATTATTATGGTTCGCACTGACTCGGGAAAAATTATTTTAATTCATTATTATGATTATTAGGGTTTTTATTTTTTTTCATTATTATTACTTTTTTTATTATTACTACTATCATTATTATTACTATTTTTCATACAATTATTTTTATTATTATTATGTATTACTATTATTATTACCATTATTATTACAATTACTATTTTTACTGACATTATTACCAATTTAATTTTTATTTTTAAAATCAAAATTCATTTTTCTTATTTTAATTTAATTATTTGAATTGCATTGAATTAAATTGAAAGGAAATAAAAATTATTTTTTAATATACGACGCAATTATTATTATAACACGATTTGAAGTTTTTATTTCCCTTCATTTGAATGTTCTAAATTCTTACGTAATTTAAAAAATTTTATTTTTAAAAAATTAATGAATTTTTCCAACAAAAAATAAATTTTGTTTTTTTAATTAAATTTGGTTTTTAAATGTAAAGATAAATTTTATTTCTATAAAAAATGTTGAAGGAATTCATTTGTTTTAATTTAATTTATTAGAATTGAATTGAATTAAATTGAAAAAAAGAAAAAACATTATTAATATTATTATCAATATGATTTTAATTTTTAAAAACAAAGTTTTTTTTTAATCATTATTCAAATTGAATTGAATTAAATAAAAGAAAAGAAAAATTCTTTTTTAATACACGATTCCATTATTATTATTATAATGAAATTCGAATGTAACAAATAAATAATAAATTTTGTTTTAATAAAAAAAAAATTTTGTTTTTTAATTAAATTTTGTTTTTAGAAGTAAGATAAATTTTATTTCGGTCAAAAAATATTTTTTTTTTAAAGTAATTTAAATAATTTAAATAATTTCACAAAGAAAATTACGTAATTAGTAGAAAAAAAGACAATGAAAGAAGTAAATTTATTTTTGTTTAGGAATTTTTGACCGAAATAAAATTTATCTTACTTTTCAACAAAAAATTTAATTAAAAACCAAAATTTATTTTCTATTAAAATAAACTTTTATTAATTTTTTAAATCTCCGCAGAAAAGAACGTAAAATAAATATTTTACAATTTTGTAAATTATTTTTTAATACTTACCCGACGCAATAGGATCTATTATAATAGGATTTGAATTTAAGAAATAAATATCAAATTTCGTTCAATTGAAAGTTAAAAATTTTTACGTAACAATTGAAAAAAATAAATAAATTTTGTTTCAGCTATAAAATTATTTTCTTTTTTCAATTTAATTCGATTTAAAATTCTTAAATAAAATATTAATGAAATGTTTCAATGAAAAATAAATTTTGTTTTTTAAACGCAAGATTTTTATTTCCATCAAAAACTGTAAAAAAAATCCAATATTCTCTTTTTTCTTGTTTTTGCTCTTTTTGCTAAAATTTTGGCCGAAATAAAGTTTATTTTACCGTTAAAAACAAAATTTAACTTCTAAAAAAATTATTTTTCTTTAAAACAAAGTAGAATTTGAAAAAATATTTATTTTTATTTAAAACCCGTTAACTTGTAATAAATGAATAAATAAAACAAAATTTATTTATCTTGAAAATTTACGCAAAAAGTACGAAACTTCAAATTGAACGAAATTTACTATTTTTTAAATTCAAATCCTATTATAATAATAATTAATTCGCGTATTAAAAAATAATTTACAAAAAATTCCGTTTTAATTTACGTTCTTCTACATATTTTTCCGTAAATTTTATAAACTAAATTTCGTTTTAAAAATACATTTTAAAAATACGTTTTTTAAAATACACTTTTCAAAAATTAAATTTAAAAAGAAAACTAAAAAGTTTTCAGAAGTAAAATAATTTTCATTTCGATCAAAAATTGTAGAAAAAAAGAGTTCTCTTTTTCCACTAAAAAGAAGAGAATATTCTTATGGATAAAGAAAAATTACGAAATTAATAAGAAAAAAAAAGACAATTGAAAAAAAAGAGAATTTACGACAAATAAACAATGCTATACTTGGAGGAAAAAAAATGTGTTAGTGATTTCGTTTCTTTTCACGCTTCAACGTTCCAAGGTCTAAAAATCATGGTTTTCCAACTGTTCATTGTTTTATATTCGAATACGTATTCGTATATATATCTATAGAAGATATTAACTATACTCAGCCGCAAAACTGGCAGGTAATTTGTTTACCATAGGACAAAAGGAAAATTGAGATTCCTTCTCCCACTCCTCACTATTGTTATATACACGTGCATTCATTATCTCCCTCGTTTGGTTAAAGTGCTAAAAAGTATAATTGAAATTCCATCCAAAGATTTGCTTTCGAATTTTTTTTTCTTGGTCCATCAGGTAAAATACTCCGGAAAATAGAAGGAAATTCTCTCTCTCTCTCTCTCTCTTTTTTTTTTGGGCAAAAAGTTTCCCGCTGACCAATAATAATAAACCCTCAGGTATAAAGGGATGAGAATTTTTGGCTCGTGCGGCCAAGGGTTCAGTATTATCTTTTTTTTTTGTCCACTTTTTGTAATATATGAGGTAATAAAAAGAATACCTCGTTTTCCTTCCGGGGAAATGTTTCTCTTTCACTCGGGAAACTTTTAAATCTCCTCTTGGCTTATTTTTTTAAATCATCCTCCGATTATCTCTTTAGATAAGAAATGACTCACTTCTGATACAAGTCGTTTAATTTTACCTGTCAACATTTTCCAACAGGTGTTAAATTTCCATAAATTTATAAATTTTCACAGCTTTTTTCTTCTTTTTTCAAAACAAAAAAATTAATAATAAAATACCTAATAAAAACGAAATAATTATATTTTTATAATTTTTTTTAATTTACTTTATTTGGTTATTTTACTGTAATTGAAAATTTAATTATAATTAGCAAATTTTTGTGAATAATTTAATTCCTTAAATGAAAAAGTTGATGGTAGGGTGAGGCGGTGTCTGAATAAAACAAACATAATTAATTTTTCCGCCCCTTGCACCCTTTTGTGCGCCATGTGTTTGCCAGCCGCAGTTGTAAAAGGTTAAATCAATTAAACGAGCCGGGAAGGCCAAACCTTTTTGGTCTGCTTTTATAATCAGACAAAAAAAGCGATATCAGCTTTTAGACTCGCTGTCGACATGCTCAAGATTTTAATCACCACACTAATTTGTATGCATAATATTACTTTCAAACAAATTCTAAACTCTAATTCAACAAAATCGATCCGAATTTTCAAATTTTAATTACAAGAACTTTTCTTTACAAAAGTTCTTTACAAGTTTTTTTTTTACAAGCAATTCATGAAATTTAATTACCTTTAAATCCTAGTAAATCTAAACAATTAGACAAATTTAATTAAAAATTGCAACTTTTTTTTATTATTTTGCAAATTTTGATTATAATTATACGAATACTGAAATCAAAAGAATTTTGTGGATAATAGAAAAAAACAAAATTTTGGTTATAATACTTTACAGATATTTATTTTTACACAGCTAAGTGTTCACATCTAGTTTTGGAAAAAAAAAACTTACACAGCATAATAATGCTGATTTTTGAGACACAGTTTTTTTCTTTAATCATTATCCTAACTTAATGTAACTAATGTGTCAACTATTATTTATATTAACAGTCGTATTTTAATTTAATTCGTATTTGATGACAATGACTGACAAAATTAAAAAAAAAAAATCTAAATTTAAAAATTTACTTGTTAAGATTCCGACAATCATTTAACGATTGTTTTTACACGAGTCACTTAAGATTGCAAGTACAAAAATTTTTTTTAATGAAACGTAAAAAAAAACACCGTACATGCTTGCGTCATTTCGAAAATATACACGCTATGCAAAATTTTACGCAAATGCATCATCTTCATTCGTGGAGAGTTAATAGGGTCGTTGACGATCGCGATCTCTGTCCCCTCTTCTAGAAGAAAGGTTAATTTTTTTTAGAATAGGGAAAGGAAAAATTAAAATAATTTAAATTAAATTTCTTTAGATTCGAACTTATTGAGGAAAAATTCATTAGGTTTCGAAAATATTATATTCATTGTTACTACTTAAATAAATTTAATTAATTAATTAATATAATTTAATTTATTACTTGAAAATCAAATACAATTTCAATTATTATAATATTTATAATATTTATAATATTTATTATATTTATTATTATAATACTTCAATAAAAAAACGAAAAGACCAAATGGTCACTTTTTGGTGAATAATTTAATTTTAAAAATGGAAATTTGTAAAATTATGATGGAACGAAGCGACACTTACGATCCGCCTCTCATTGGACCTCCTCTGCCTCCGCGGCCACCTCCTCTGTCGCCTCCGCGACCTCCTCGGTCTCCTCCACGACCACCACGGTCACCGCCGCGGAAACCACCGCCGCCACCTCTTCCACCCCTATCTCCACGACCTCCGCGATCTCCTCCTCGGAATCCGCCACCACCGCGTCCACCGCCACCTCTTCCTCCGCGACCGCCGCCGCCTCCACCACCTCCCATTCCCTCAGGTTTTGCGCTCTTGCACAAATTGCACTGATCGCGCCAAGCGAAATTTGTATTGCCACAGTCTTGATTCGAACACCTTGAAAAATAAATTTTTTCATTAAAATTTGAAAATTAAATTTAAAACTAAATTTAGAAATTGAAAAAAACCTTAAAAATCAATAAATTAATAAAAACTGTATAGTAATTAAACTTAAAAACTAAACTTAATAATTAAGAAATTAACTTTCAAAATTATAATTAAAAACTAAATTTACATATTAAACATAGAAATCTAATTTACAAATGAATCTTTAAAATCAAAATTAGAAACAAAATTTAGAAATTAAATTTAAAAATCAATATTAAAACCTGAATCCACAGGGTGGTCACAAGTTTCAGTTTATAAATTTCCCTGACATTAAAATTATTTTCCCAGATAAAATTCTCTTTACAGAAAAATATGAGAGTTTACGGAAAATGAGTAAAATTTATGAATTTTAATAATTTCTAAAATTTATAATTATAACCTTCTTTGAATTTAACTATTTTCTACAAAAAATCAACTTTATCTCTAAAACGATTATTTTAAATAATTTTTCCAACTGTCCATTTTTTTTTTCTTAAGTTATTAAGATATAATATTTTCAAACAATTATAAAAAACAAATTCTTACAAATAGTTTTTTAAAACTATTTTTGAATAATTTTTGAAAGATAATAGTTTTTTATACAATTGCAAAATTTCCAAACAATTGAAATTTGGTAAAATCTTTTAAAAATAATTTGATTTTTGAAAAATATTAATAAAAATCAAATTTTTAAAGAATTTTAATTACGAATAGGAACTTTAATGGAATAGGAATTTTAATGTAATTTTTTGAAAATAATTGAACTTCTTAAATGAATTTGTGTATAATTTAAAAAAACTAATTAATTTTTTCATGGATTTTAATTAAAAATTGTTAACATGATTTTTTTCCGAAATTGTTAAAAATAATTCTAAAATGTTATTATTTTTTGTAAGTATTTGAATTTTCAGAAATATGTATTTGAAAATATTGAATTTTTAAAAATTAGAAGCTAATTTTAATTAATTTTTATTCTTAAAATTACATTTAAAGATTTTTCATTAAAATTTTTGATAAATAATTCAATTATTTACCATATTTGCAAAAAAAATTCTTAAAAAGTTGACTTTCAAAAATTGTAACAAAATAGTTTTTGAAACATTTATTTATAGTTATTTTTCGCACCATAAAAATCTAAATAAGTTGCATTTTATACTAAAAATGTGGTATTTCGTTGCAATATTTGTAAAAAAAAGTCGAAAAAGTCGCAATTTTTGAAAATAATTTGAAAAAGTCTCAATTTTCTTCATTTTTCTGACATTTCCCTGACTTTACAGACATGTGGCCACCCTGATTTAATAATTAAAATTAAAATCTATATTCAGAAATTAAATTTTAAAATAAATTTCAAAAATTAAATTAACAATGATTAATCTTAAAAAATTAAAATTAAAAACCAAATTAGTAATTAAAATGAAAAACAAATATAAAAATTTGTTAAAAACTAAATTTAGAAATAAAAACTAAAAACTAAATATAAAAATTAAATTTTTAAATTAAACTTAGAGATTAAATTCCGAAATTCAATTCGAAAATTAAATGTACAAATTAAACTTAAAAATCATAAATGAAAACTAAATTTAAAAAAAATTTCGAAACTAAATTTAAAAAAAAAAATAAAACTAGAAAGTAAATAAAAAATATATCACTGAATAAGTGATACATTTAAAATTAAAGAAGAATTAAAAAATTCTGTTTTAAAATTACAAGAAATAAAACATTTCCTTCGTAAATAAGAATAACTAAAAAAAATGTCTGAATGAAAGTGACTAATTACTACTAGATACAAAAATAGAAAAAAAAATACTAATTACCTCCAATCGGCACCGCGTCCACCTCCGTCACGTCTGTCGTCACCGCCTCCACGGCTGTCATCACGATCACCACCGCGACCACCGAATCCGCCGCCTCCACGGCCTCGTCCACCACCTCCGCGACCACCACCACCGCCGCCACCACCACCACCTCCACGGCCTCCAGACCAACTACTTTTGTGTTGAGCAATTTGTACTTTAATCGTGAATCCCTTAAAGTCCTTATTGTCGAACCATTCTATGGCCGATCGGGCCGCATTCAGATCCTCATAAGTGACTGTGGCCTCTCCTTTTGGCTTGCCGGTGTTTTTGTCTTTATACACCCAAATTTTCGGCTTTCCGGTCTTCTTGTCATTCTACGAAAAAGAAAAAGTATTTTAATAAAACTAGTAAAATTAAAAGGAGTAATTTAATGAATCTAATTTATTAAACACTTATAAACTAAAAGAGAAATTCAAAAAGTATGTAAACAATTATATCGTTTCCATATTTTTTTTTCGCCGTAAAATAATAACAGTTATTATAATTAGTCCTCGTTACCTTAATGACACCAATTGCTCCAAAGTGCTGGCAAATTTCTTCTTCAGATACTGTTGGGTCCATTCCAGAAACGAAAATCGTATCTTCTTGTGTAACCATTCCATCACCACTGCCACCACCACCTCGGTCACCGCCATATCCTCCTGCAATATCGCAATTATTATTATCACGTCATTATAAATTTGAGCCCTAATCAAAAATTAAAAAAATACTTTTCATATTTGATCTAAACTGATCTTTTCATTTTTTTTAGCTTCTAATAGTTACTTGTTTTTTTTTCATTAAAAATTCTCTTTGCATTTTATATTTTACTTTTTACTTTTCATAGAGAATTTGAAAATTCTCTTTACATTTTATATTTTACTTTTTACTTTTCATACTTGATCTGAACTGATCTTTTTTTTAGCTTCTAATAATTACTTGTTTTTTTCCTTGAAAATTCTCTTTACATTTTATATTTGATCTAAACGGATCTTTTTTTTCTTCTAATAATTCTGTTTTTTTTTACATTGAAAATTATCTTTACAGAATTTAGTTTTTATTCAACAAAATAAATATGTTTTGTTGAATAAAAACTAAATTCTTCATGTAAATATTCCATTTTATAAACTTAATTATTATCATTTACCAAATCATTTTCTCATTCAATATTGTTTTCAAATTTTATTTTATTTTAATTAGCTTAATTTATATTTTTTTTATTACTTCTACTTTGTTTAATTAAAAATTATCTTTGAATTTTATAATTATTTTTTATATTTTGTTGAATAAAACCTAAATTCTTTTTTGTAAATATTCCATTTCATAGACTTAATTCTTTTCTTCCAAATCATTTTTTCAGTCAATATTATTTTCAATTTTATTTAATTAGCTTAATTTTCTTCAATGCTTCTCTTTTTGTCACTCTATACACTCTTCAATATAAATTATTTTCTCCACCAAATTTTACCATATACGTTTAAATTATCTATTTTCCGTTACCAAACTTCTTTTTTAATTTTCGACACACTCTAATTTCCTCTAATTAAATAAATAGAAAAATTGCTCTAATTATTAAATACTTGTCAAAAAGGACAAGTATAAAAAAAATATTTTTCAAAATCATTGTTTGTTTTATTATTTTTTGTTTAAAAAATATATTAAAAAAAATTTTTTGTTAATAAAATATTTATTTTTGCGGTATAAAGAAAATAAAGTTAAAGTTTTTCTACTGTCGTTTCCTTTCTTCTCCATTTTTCGTTATGAAAAAAATTGCACACTCGATAATAACTCAATTGTCGGTGTGGCAATATCGTGAGTAAAAAAATGACTAGTTTACTAATTTTATTATTAAAACTCATTTGTTGAATTACTTAATGGTCCTGTATGTTGACAATTCATTTATTTCAATTTCAATTCCACCACTTAAAAATAATTTATTTTAGATTAATTATATACGTCTTAGAAATAAACCAACTTTTTTTCTCGTTCTGTAATTTTTCGTATTACGAAAAATTATTATAACCTTCATTTTTTTTTACAAATACCTCAAACAATATTTCTTAAACACCTTCATTTAATTTCAAAATGGGAACCAGTTTTTTTTTCTAAACTTATCGTTTTACTTATTTTAAACCTACATAAATTTTTTTTTGTTAAAACCAGACCTTTTTTGTTTTTTAATCGATTTTTATAAGTTTTTCTTTATATTTTTGTTAATTATAATTAATAATAACTCGTGTAGTTTTGCGATAATTGCCCTAATTTCTCTTGATATTTTTTCTTTCTTGGAATGAAATTTAATAATTTAGACTTTTTTTTTGTAAAAACCAGATAATTTTGTAGACCTTTTATTGTTTTTTAATCGACTTTTATGTTTTTCTATATATATATTTTTTTGTTAATTATAATTAATAATAACTCGTGTAGTTTTACGATAATTCACCTAATTTCTTTTTTTTTTCTTGGAATAAAATTTAATAATCTAGACTTAAATCTATCGTAGGGAAACACAAGGTTGCGGCTTTACATACAAAAGGGCTGCAAGGAGAAGTTTTCCCTTTTCATTTTCCTACAATCGCTTCTTTTTTTTTAGACGACAAAAATGTTAATTGCTTATTGAAAGTACTTTTTTTTACCAGTTGTCTTGAAATTGACAACGAATTCCGCCACTTTTGCTTTTTTTGCAAAATTACACTCGCAATATTTAATAATTAATAACACTAATAAAAAAGGTAAATTCATTTTTCTCAATTGAACCAAAAAAACAATAAAAAATAATTCTAAACTTATTTAGAAAAAAATTCTAAATTTCAATTTTAAAACTTAGAAAAAGAATTCTAAATTTCCAATTTTAAACTTGGAAAAAAATTCGATTAATGTTAATTTATCATCAATTAATTAATCAGGGTTGCTACAAAAATTTCAAATTTAAACCTTTTCGAAATTCAACAACTTATAATAATTTAAATATCCAACAAATTTTCTAGACAAGATAAAATTTAATTACTTACAAAATTTTTTAATAAAATTCTTCACAAGAATTCAATTATTTTTACAAGTAATAAAATTTTTCACGTGAATTCAATTTTTTTTAAAAAATGTAACAAAATTCGTATTGTAGGAATTTAATTATTCTCATAAAAACAATAAAATTCTTCACAGAATTTCAATTACATAAAACAAAATGTAATAAAAGTCGTTGCAAGAATTCAATTATTTTCATAAATAACAATATTTTTCACAAGATTTTAATTTTTTTTTTTTAATTTATTAAAAATTCGTCGCAAGAATTCAATTATTTTTAATAATTTTTGAAAAAGTTTAATTCAATTCAAATAATTCTAATTCTTCAAAATTGTTAGTTAAAAGTATCAAAAATTCAAATTTTCAAAAATTTTAATTTGAAACCTTTTCAAAATTCAATTATTTCCTAAAATTCATGTTATAATGCTTTTAATATTCAATTGTTATCTAAAATGTTAACTAAAATTTATTTTTAAATCAATTTTTATTTGAAAATTCTACAACAAAATTTTTTAAAAATTGAATTTTCTCCATGATTTGTAATAAAATTTTTAAGAAAAATTACATTTTTTGAGGAATTTGAATAAAATTGTAATATAAATAATTAAAATCCGGCAGTGAGTTTTATTATTTATGAAAATAATTGAAATCTCACGAAGAATTTATTAAATTTTTCCAAAATAATTGAATTCTTGCAATGAATTAAATTTTTTTTAAATAATTGAATTTCTTTGAATATTTTATTATTTACCAAAAATAATTGAATTATATTTCTTTTTCCAACAGGAATTAAAATATTTATAAACGATTTCGATTAAATTCTTATACAGAATTTTATTACAATTTTTTTTAATGATTGAATTCTTTTGTAATGTTGTATTAAAATAGTAGATATTGGAAATTATTGCTTTGAGGAAATTTTCTGAAAGTAACTGAAATTTTGCTAAGAATGTTATTAAAATTTTTGAAAATAATTGAATTTTTTGGACAAATTTTATTAAAATTTTTAAGAATAATTGTACTTTTCGAGGAATTCGATTAAAATTTTTTCTGAATTGAATTAAAAATAATTAAAATTTTTCGATGAGTTTTATTATTTATGAAATTAATTAAATTATTACGAAGAAGTTTATAACAAAATTTGTAAATCCAACTCTTTTAAAATTCAATTAATTTTGAAATATTGAAGTTAAATTATTCATTAGATAATTTATAATTAAAATTTTTCTGATAATTCTTCAATAATTATGTTATGTAACAAGAAATTATTATCAGAAATTGAAAAAATTGTAATTCAGAATTTTCTGATGAACTCTAAAAATTTAATTTTTTCCAGTACTTTTAATTAAATTCCCTGAATTCTCTAACCTGTGTCAACTCTGTTAATTGATGATTAATTAAAGAGATGAATAAAATTAAAAATTGACGATTTCGACTGACGAATGAAATTTTCATCAGAAACCTTTTTTTTAACGTGTTAACACAAATTTGAACAATAAATCTAAAACACTTAATCGAAAAAGGAAAAAAATAGAAAAAAATATTTTGTAACTTAAGTTGTATAGTTTCCCTGAAGAAAGCGTAGTATTGTTTTTTTTATTGGCAGCCCTTTCATATAATAATACGAGTAACCGAGTATTTTAAATTGTAAAATATTATAGATTGAATGCGTGAATAGCACCAGACTAGTACAGACAGTCTGGTGCATTTACCTTTGTTATAACCACCACGGCCACCGCCACTGCTAAAACACAGAAGCAGATAAACCAATGAGACGACTCATGGAACAGATAGATTGATTGATTGATCGATGCGTGGCGATTCATATGCTGGTCGCCACCCTCTCTTCTTGATGTACCTACTGTCTAAATGTCTTTTAGTCACCACATTACAATTTTTTTTCATTTCTTTATTCGACTCTTTGTGTTGATGCGTCGTTTAAAGCACACAGACTTTTTTCTCATTTCTCTCTTTCTCTCTCTTCTTTCACAACGTCACGTTCGTCACAGTCTCGTCCAGTTCCATCCACATTATTCAGTCTTCGGAAAAATTAAATCGTCATTAAAAAAAATTCATTATCTGAGAAAAAATCAAATTTTAACCATTAATCATTTTGTTAAATTATTCCTTTTTTTTATTTTGGATTCTATTTTGTAATTTATTGAAATAATTTTTAAATCATTAAGTTACTAGAAAATTTTTTTAGTTATTAAAAACGAAAGAATTCTTTTTTTTTAAAGACGATTTTTTTTGCGCGAAGAAAACCTGAAAATCATTCGACAAACAAAGCATGAATAAAGTGTAATAAAATATTCAGAAAAAAAAAGTCCCACACAATATAACAAGTCTGCGACATTACGGCTCTTGAAAAGCGGTCAAGTATGAAGGGGAGGAATTTAAATACTTTAGGGGAGAAAAAGTCGATAAGGTATTTTTTTGATGACCTTCGAATTTCTTTCTCGTCGGCTCCTATTATTATATTTTACCAAAAATATTACTTTTGGAGAAAAAAAATTTTTGTTAATTGTTAAATACGACAAAAAAGGAAGTGTTGGGATTAAAAAACAAAAAAAAATCCTTTACAAATTAGAAAAAAAAACAAACACTAAAAAACAAAAAAAATAAATTAAATTTCTTGTATTTCGAAAAAATGATAGGTATTCGCAACTACAAACAGCAGTGTGTTAGCTTGTCACAAGTGACAAAGGAACTAAAATGCAGTAAATAATTTTAGACGACGGCTTAAATTATGGCGATCGTCACAACCTGCGTTTCGAATAATCCTTTTTTTTCCAGTCAAAAAAAAAAAAACAGATTTTTCACGCAATCCTAAACGTTTTCGCATTTTGTCGAAAAGAATCGTCAAAATAAACGTTATTGTTGCAGCACCAAAGGCGACATATTAAATTTGCCAGCCATACATTTTTGAATTTGTGATACAGATTCAGTATGCGGTATTTGTCATAATATAACCATATTATTATTATTATTACTTTTTTTTGTCAATTGTCATATACAACCTGTTTCATTTTTACCTTCTTACCAGTAAATATCTGTGTGTTAAACCTGTAGACACACTTCAAATCACATTAAAACCCAAGGGACGTAAAATACCATATTATTTATAAATATACATGTTTTTTTTTGCAATTTGCATTAAATGCAGATCGTTACCTTTTTTATTACAATTCTTTTTTTTATGCTGTGAAAATTTTAAATTATTTCTCAAGTCAAGAAGTTTTTTTTTTCTCTTTTGAGGTTCATTGGATTGTTTTTTTTTTTTTTAATTTCTTCGCAAATTTTTATTTAAGGTGGAAAAATTAAGACAACTTACTTGTATCCGCCACTTGAACGATCTCCGTAGCTTCCTCGATCGCCTCCGTATCGATTGCCACCGCCGCCACCTCCTCCTCCACCACCCTGGTCTGTAAACATTTTCGATTTTTAATTTCATAATCATAATTCTATTTAAAATTCTAATCTCGATTCTGATAATAATTCTAATTCCAATTTTATTTCTAATTATGATTATAATTCTAATTACAGGCCTCGCACTCGATAATTAATTTTAAAAAAGTAGCTTAAAGTCTGAAAAAAGTAGCTATCGAAAAATTTGACAACTTAAAAAAACTCGTTTTAAACGATTCGCATAATTCCCAAAAATTTGATTCTGTATTTCATTTTAATAACTTTTTCTAATTAACATAGAAAATATATATCCTTTTTTTCTTATCCTGATAATAATTTCAATACTGAATTTTTTAAAAATTCAATTATTTTCTAAATTTTTGGTTAGAATTCTCTAAAAATATATTTAAAAATAATTTTTAAAAATACGTAAAATTCTTTAAGATGTAAAATTTATTTCAATTACATTTCACATTTCCAAATAATTAGAAATTTAATTTAATCTTTTTAAATTATTTAAGTATCTAGATAAAATTTTAATTACAATTTTTCAAAACAAAATTTTTTTCATAATTTCTAAATTAAACTACATTCAAAACTTGAATCATAATTTTTGTTAAATAAATATTTAAATACCTATTTATTTTTTTACAGCAATTAAAATATTTTAAATGATTTACAAAGAATTTTATTATTAATATTTTGGAAAAATTTGAATTTTTTAAAATTGTATTAAAAATAATTAAAATCCTGCAATGAGTTTTATTATTTATAAAAATAATTGAATTTTCAAGAAGAATTTCTTAAAACGTTTCAAAATAATTGAATTTTCAAGAAGAATTCTTTAATAATATTGTAAATAATTGAATTTTTACAAAGAATTTTATTAATATTTTGGAAAAATTTGAATTTTTTAAAATTGTATTAAAAATAATTGAAATCCTGCAAAGAGTTTTATTATTTATAAAAATAATTGAATTCTTGCGAAGATTTTTCTTAAAACGTTTCAAAATAATTGAATTTTCAAAAAGAATTTCTTAAAACGTTTGAAAATAATTGATTTTTCAAGAAGAATTTCTTAAAACGTTTGAAAATAATTGAATTTTCAAGAAGAATTTCTTAAAACTTTTCAAAATAATTGAATTTTCAAAAAGAATTCTATAATAATTGTAAATAATTGAATTTTTACAAAGAATTTTATTATTAATATTTTGGAAAAATTTGAATTTTTAAAAATTGTATTAAAAATAATTGAAATCCTGCAAAGAGTTTTATTATTTATAAAAATAATTGAATTTAATTGATTTATTTGTCCCTATACATTTTTTTTAATTTGTTTTGTTTTTTTTTATTCATCTTTGTACAATTTTATGTTTTCAATATTTTATACGCGTTTATTTTTATTTTTTTTTTTATATATCCGTTTATAATTTTATCTTTTGACTTTTTAAACTTCTTAAAATTTTTGTTTTTTATTGTTGTTGTGCTGTTAATTCCGCTTTTATATTGAAATAGTTTTAAATTTTTTAACTATTGACGCAGGAGAACCGCAGACACAGAACAAAGTCGCAGCAGCGATAGAGTTGGAGCGCCTCCCTCGAAGGCTAAAGTCTTACGACAGTTCCGAGGGAGGGTAAAGGGCTCCAAAAGAAGGGTTACGGGTTTTAGTGGGTCGGGCTGGTAGTAGGTCGCCAGTTTATTAAATTTATTATAACATTTATTTATTTATCCTTTTTTTTAAATTCCCTTTTTTTTATTTTACCAACCCCACATAACCTTGGAGTGCGGAATCCAAGGTATCTGTAAACAGATTTCCCAAAATTCCCTAAGCAAAAAAAAAAAAAAAAAAAATAATTGAATTTTCATAGAAATTTTATTATTTGTGAAAATAATTGAATTCTAGCAAAGAATTTTATAAAATTGTATGAAAATTGTAAATAATTGAATTTTTACAAAGAGTTTTATTATTTATGAAAATAATTGAATTTTTGCGAAGCATTTCCTTAAAAATTTTGAAAATAAATGAATATCTAAGAAAAATGATATAAAATTGTATGAAAATTGTAAGTAATTGGATTTCTCCAAGGAAAATTGTATTTTAAATATTTGAATTCCTGTGAAAATAGTAAGTGTTAGTATACAGAATTGCGAAGCCTCTGTAATTGCTTCTAGTTATAATTCTAATGGTTCAGGAAAAATTGTAAAAGAAAAATAAATGTGGGAAAATTGGTAAAATGTTTGTAGATAAAAAGAAAAACTTACTGTTACCATAGCCCCCTGAACCTCCTCCTCCTCGGTTGTAACCTCCGCCGCTGCCGCCTCCACCTCCACCACCGCCGCTTCCATAACTACTACCTCCGTAATTATTACTATTATTGTTGCTAGAACCACCGCTGGATCCGTAACTGCTTTGGCCATAACTACCCTGACTTTGGGATTGATTATAATCTTGACCACTGCTGTTATTTCCACCATAACTGCTGTTGTAATTCTGATAATTTCCACCACTTGGCGGGGGTTGACTATATTGACTGTAATTAGTCGAAGCACCCGATGGAGGTGGATACGATGTATCCTGAGCTACTGGAGGAGGCTGACTGTATTGTCCATAATTTTGCTGTTGCTGCTGATAAGCAGCATATTCTGCCAAAAAGAAAGACTCCCAATGACCAAACAAAAAAAACAAGCATCTATTTCCAAATCTCATTCGCATCTCAATTTTCATCAATTATTTCCGCTTTAATCGAATTTCAAATATCAATTCCAAAATTAAAATAACAAAACTAAAATAACAAACATCTTTTTCATTTAATTAGAGCAAAAAAAGTTCATTTTTGATAAAAATTATAAACCGGACATCGAAAGCGTCTCGATGCCAAAAAAAAAGAATTGAACCTCCATATTTATTACAAACGATTGTCAATGGAAAGCAATTTTCACACGAAGAATTTTATCAATTTTTTGAAAACTTACGGCTGTCCGTCATTGTTTCGCCCTTCTCGGTATCCTCGAATTTGAAAATTCGTCAGGAATTCCTCGGGAAAATGATAATTAAATCACAATTTCACACGTAGACAAAATACAACTTCAATGACAAAAATACCTCTGCTGATTGTCGATAGTCGGAAAAGGAAACCACCCTCACCGAGAAAACGGAAGTTGGTGGCGACATCTATTTCACTTTTAGTTCACGTCAATTCCGCTAGAAGTAAGCAAAGCAAACAAATTTTGAATTAAATATTTATGTATAGAAAACAACAAATACTATTTACTCTCAAAAGCGAATGATATTTGCAATAAAAATTATTTCTCCAATTTTTCTATTTAACTATCGATTTTTTAATTTTAGAGAAAATAAGTAAAAAGTACTTTTATTTAAACACCCCGCCAATCAATATTGAAATTCAAGATGGCACCGAAAGAGCGGGACTTTAAAAACAAAGACAAATATTAACAAAGCGAAAAATTATTTATTCATTTTTAAAATTATTTTTGGTGTAAAAATTATGTTTAGTTCTTTTGTTTGTAACGTGTGTATTTTTTCTAAAAAAGTATCAAGCAGTGGGAAACAAATTTCATATTTTTCAAAAGTACCTAAAAGTTAGGTTTGCAAGACTGGGCTATTTAGTTTCTATTGGGTTGGCAGTACTGACTACTGACACGATCCCTGCTTGTTTCGTCCATTTTGTTTTTTCTTTCAAAGAGAACAGACAGTGATCTTGGTAGCTTAACACGTATTCGTGTCGTTAGACTCAAAAGTAAGTGCTTTTTATTTTAATAATTTACAAAATATTCCTCAATTTATCACCATTGAATATAATTTTTCTTTATTTTGCAATAATTCTGCAAGTATTTATTGAAATAACCGCCGATGTTTATTGATGTTTTTGACGTGTTGTTACACATCTCCATGCTTGTATTCTCAACAATATTCTTATTTTACCCAACAATTCTACTTTTCTGATTATAATTATTAAAAAAAATCTAATGACTGATTTTATTTCTCAATTTATAATTATTAACTTTTTCTTTTAATTCCCTTCGTTCTGTACTCGTGGAAATTTTTTTAGGTTAGGAAGTTTTAAAAAGTATTAATTTCTAATTTTACTATTCTAGTTGTATTCTTTCTTTTTTTCTGTAGTTTCGACTATTGTTAACTTCTTTCACATTTGATATTTTAATTATTGTTGTTGTTATTATAAAGTAATTGTTGAATGTGTAAATTTGGAGGTTATGTTAATCGTATAATGTAAATTTGAAAATTTTGATCAGACTTTCGATTGAATTTGCTGTACTATTTATACTGCATTTAGTAAATTTTAGTAATAGTTTCAAAAAAATATTCTTTTTCGTTTTTTGTATGATGATTTTTAAATATCACCATCTTTCGACTGAGTCGTTGTGATGATACTCTTTATAATCTGAGTTCCTCCTGATAAATAGTTCTCTAGCTATTCGAGTGTAAAAATTTCGATGAAACTAACAGCGAATTTTCTTTTCAGTTATACAATGCGTTACGTGGCTGCTTACCTTTTGGCTGTCCTTGGCGGAAAGGCCGAACCCGCACAAACGGACATAGAAAAGATTTTGTCATCCGTGGGTATTGAAGCCGATGATGAGAAACTCAAGAAAGTCATCGGCGAGCTCAAGGGAAAGAGCATCGAGGACTTGATTTCACAAGGTATTTAACTATTTATTTTAAATTAAATAATAATTATTAATTTTTTTTGTAGATATTTAATTTTTTTTAAAATTAATTACTAATAATTATTTTTGTTATAAATCCTACAGTCATTTTAGTTAAAATATAAAACATTAATGTTCGAGATCTTTTATAAAATAAGGCAAATAAATATTTTTATTCATTGTCCGAATGTTTTCGTTTTATTTGCCTTATTTTATAAATTATATTGTAATGAAAGTAAATATTTTCGTAATGAAATATAATTATAGTATAAGGCAAATAAATATTTTTATTCATTGTCCGAATGTTTTCGTTTTATTTGCCTTATTTTATAAATTATATTGTAATGAAAGTAAATATTTTCGTAATGAAATATAATTATAGTAAAATTTTTAAATAAAATTAGTACAATTTCTAAATGTAATTAGTACAATTTTTTAATGTAAAAAGTAGTTTTTTTCATTAAATAGTCAATAAAACTGGATAATTAAAAAATAATTCTTTTCAGGACGTGAAAAATTGTCCTCAATGCCCGTGGGTGGTGGAGCAGCACCAGCTGCAGTTGCTGCCAGTGGCGCCGGTGCAGCTCCAGCAGAGGAGAAGAAAGGTAAAAAAAAATTTTGCACTTTTATTTTCTATGCAAATTTGTCAAAAATATACTTAATGATGTTATGCAATATACCATCTTTCGCCTGAGTCGTTGTGATGCTAAATTTATGCCTGAATGTAAATAATTGTTGCATAGACTAGAAATTTTCTTTTTTTCGAAAATTGCTAATTCTTTTTAATCTTTTCAAAAACAGAGGAGAAGAAACCAGCCAAAGAGGAATCTGAATCAGAAGACGAGGACATGGGATTCGGTCTCTTTGATTAAGCCTGCACTCAAGACTTTTATTCTCCAACAGAGGTGCAACGTTAAGGCTAGTTGTACAAAAATAATTTCTTCCTTTTTTACACCCCTGCTGAGGAATAAATCTTTTTTTTAAAACCCAGCCATATTTGTGATAAGTATCGAAAAAACCTTCTTTCCTCTCTCAATCTTCCATGTTCCATTTAATTTTAGGAACTTTTTATTTTTTTTATTTCAATTTTTAATTATTATTTTCAATTAATTATTATTATTATTCAAATCTCGTTCGTGATTTCAACTTAAACATTTTGAATTTGCATTTTTTCTATTTATCCGTTTTAAGGGAAGACTTCAACTCCATTTTTTACTGTTTTAAGAAAATGATTTAAATCTTCCATAAAATTATTTTTATGGTAATTTTGAGAGAGGAAATCAATGATCAGAAAATATTCTGATACTTTATGAATTTTTATTTTCCTAATTGATAAGATTTTAAAATCCAACCATAATTTTGTAGAAAATGTTTTTGTATTCGCCAAAAAATTTATTTTTATTATTTTTAAACATTGTTTTTAGGTCGAAAATGCTAAGGAATAAAAATAATAAAAATCATGTTAACGACAAAAATACATCTTTTAACAATAAAAATCATTGTTTTCATTCGACAATTCTTTTGTGAATACAAAAACATTTTCTACAAAATTACGGATGGATTTTAAAATCTCAATTTTGAAGAAAAATAAAAATGCAAAAAGTGTCGGAATATTTTCTGACCATTGATTTCCTCTCTCAAAATTACTATTAAAATAATTTTATCGAAGATTTAAATCATTTTCTTGATATAGTTAAAAATTTAATCGAAATCTGCCTTTAAACGTTTTGAATTTGAATTTTTTCTTTTTAAAGAAAGATTTTTTTCGTTTTAAAGAAGAGCTTTTAGTCTTGAAGAAGTTTTAAAGAATTTTCGTTTGGAATAAAGGCAGCTGATCGAAAAAAGAGAAACAAAAACAAGATTAATTAGAAGCATCAAAAGAATTGGATGTTAATATGATGTATCGGTGTCAATTGCTATCGTGTTTGTCAAATTGCCAAATAATTCAAGTTCCTGGACGTGTCAATAGTCAAGAAAAATAAGGGTGCTTTCAAATAAAAATTAACAGCGAAGAAAAAAAACGAAATTTTTAATTTTCTTTCGTCAAACTTGAAAAAAGTCTTTTTTTGAATTTTAATTAAAGATCCAAAAGAACTAATGTGTCACCTACAATTTATATATCATTTATATGAAAGCATTGGCACGTTCTCGTACGCGCCGTCGCCGTTGGCTTCATTCACGAGATTCGTTTTTAAAAGGAGACGCAAGAGGGGGGTTCTTGATCGCGGCTTGTAACCTTGCGCAGGAGTATTTTCAATCAGTGAAAAATTTTCACATTCACAAAATCGATTCAACGAATTTGAATTAATAATTAAAATTGTTTTTTTAGTAGTATTTTTTGTCGTTAGTGTATGTGAAAAGAAAAGTTATTATCAGAATTAACAAAAGGGAAATCAAGTGAATCTAGGGACTATTTTGCAATCCATGAGTAATTGTGGTGGGGGACGAATAATGGCGTCCATGATGGGTGTCAGCGGCAAGCAGTGACGGTATTTGCCTTGCGTCAGTCGGTTTTGTATTGCGGATGATTGAATCGTGATTCTCGGGGTGAAAGGTGTACGAAAAAAATTGGTGTATTTGCAATTGAATACCGCCATTTGGCTGCGAGAAGATCCTGCCAAATTTTATTGGCTTTAGGATTCCGGTAATCTTGCAAAAGAATCACAAAAATGACGCAGCTACTGCCCATAAGGTTTCAGGAACATCTCCAGGTAAGTGACCTGCTTTTTTCTGATAGGTGCATCGTCTTGATTTTTTACTATTAAATTGATTTGCATATTATTTGTTAGATAGTGTAGGGAAAAATACAATTGTATTTTAGGTTAAAATTCACTTTTAAAGTTTAGTATTAAAGACGCTTTTTGGTACTCCAAAATGCCACCGACGTTACGTTGACAGCTATCGTGAGAGTCATTAAATTCTTTTCCTTTTTTTTCCTAACTGACCGTTTCTTTCAGGTTTAAAAGATTCAATCGTTGGAGTTTAATCTTTGGGAGTTTAGGGTTAGAATTTTCCTTGAATATAAAATATGAATTTATACAGAATCAGTGGAAAAATGAAATTAAGGAATCGATTTTTCACCGATAACCGATCGTCAGTGGCATGGAAGCCACGTCTGCTCCTCGACATATACGCCCCTCGCTTCCGCCTACAAAACACCGTGTCGCTTGACGTGAATCTTCAACCTGTGTTTTTTTTCATTTATCTTGTTATTTAACCCTTTCAGAAGCAGTCAAATGTATTTATTTCTGTCTAGTTTTTAACTCACTGCCATTTTTACTTTCCATCCGGAAAATTCCGGTTTTATTTGCAAAAAAAGAAAATTTCACTGCATTTTTTATAAACTACTAGTCATTTTTTTTCTTGTATAATAAAAAGTAAAAAATTGATTTATTTTCCAGAAGTTAATTTTTTGGGTAAAGATGAATCAATTTAATTTGTGTCGCTTTAATTATCGGGTTTTATCAGTTTGTCCTCATCCAAAATTGTAGGAATTGATTTCAAGAGGTTAATTAGCCTCCGGGTTGAGCTCGTTTAGATTTAATTCACAAATAAAGTAAATTAATAATTTAGAGTAGAAATTTCTGCAAAAGAAAAATATCATTGGATTGATTTAAATTTAATTTTGAATTCTTTTAATGTCGATTGTTTTTCTTACCAATGAGCTGAATAAGTACTTTTCGACTTCTTCATTGTTATAACTGTCTAAACATTTATTATTTAAAAAAAACAATTACGACAATTTTTTTTCTAAAGTAAAAAATATTTTTTACCTCTGACCTTCTGTTTGAAGATTATTTCTTTATTTATAAAAATAGTACAAAGGCAGAGTTGCCACAGGTCAGGGAATTCAGGAAAAAGTCAGGTAAAATAAAATTGATTAGGGAAATCAGGGAAAAACAAAATTAATTTTTTGTGACAACCATGAAAGGAAAATATTTTTCTCCAGAGAATTTATAATTTTAATTTTTCTTTTCATGCATTAGAGTTGATACTTTTTGATATTTACTTATCTTGTGTTGTAAAATATTTTATAATAATTGATGCAAAGATAGTAACCTTGCTTGAAGAGAAAGGGAAATAGTTGAATAATTTTTTTTCTTCTTCTAAAAGTCAAAGCGCATATTTTCAATTGAAACACAAGTGCATGTATATCACTGTGAAATGCTTTCAAACTAATTTCCTTTGAATCAAAAGAAGATAATGTAGCTTTCATATATATGAATCACAGAGAGGTGTCTCTTTAAAAAAAGAAAAAAAAAAATGCCAGATCCATATATTTTCGAACAATTTAAGGTCACGCGAGAGTAATTACTAGACAGATAAAAGAGATTATTTTAAAATACTTTAATGAGGTTTATTATTCATTATTATACACTTTAAAGTTCAGTATGTTTAGGAAAGTATATTGCACGAAAAAAAATTGTTGGTCAAAAAAAAAGATACTGTAAAATTTAGATGTGATTTTAATTTAAAACATATATTTGTGAAAAAAAATTAACTTGTTGAAATTAATTAAAGAGTTGTAATTTAATGATTTTACTCGCTCTCTCTCCAATTTTTGTGTTGGTAATTTATCTTTAATTGATTGACAATAAGAGATGTGTAATTGAAAAAAAAATATTGATTACTATTTTTAGCTGACTGCTGTTGGGATAAATGCAAATAATGTCAGCTTTAATACTGTCACCATGGAATCTGATAAATTCATCTGTGTGCGAGAAAAAGTGGGCGAAACAGCACAAGTAGTAATCATTGATATGAATGATACGGCCAACCCCATTAGAAGGCCGATCTCTGCAGATTCGGCCATCATGAATCCAGCGAGCAAAGTCATCGCTCTCAAAGGTAAATTCGAATTTAATAAAAAAAATATTTTCTCTACCTATTATTTTTTATTTATTTATCTTGAGTTTTTAGCGTTAAATGAACAAAATTTGTTTTCTGTTCAAGTATTTTAATGTTATATTTTTATTTTATTTCATAAAAATGTACTAATTAAAGGAAGTTAAAAAAATTTCGTCCTTCATTTGAACGTTCAAAACTTTAACTTTGAGAACAATTGTTTAATTTTATTAGATGAATTCTTTCTTAGAAAATAAACAGGATTGCCAAAGATCAGGAAAATCAGAGAAAACTCAGGGATCTCTATTGAAAATACTGGAAAAAATTTTATTTTTTAGAATTCATAAGAAAATTCTGAATTTTTGTGTCTTTTTTGTTTGCCTCATAAACTATGGAACTACCACGAATTCTAATACAAAACCTTGAACTTTTTCTATTTCTAACAATAATTTCTTTTTAAATTTCTTCATTCTTGAACAACTATCATAACATTATTTTTTAGAAATTATTTAATAAATAATTATACTCAAATATTTCAAAATTAATTGAGTTTTAAAAGAGTTGCGTTTACAATTTTCATAAACAAATTACCTTCAAAAGGTTCTAATTTGAAATTTTATAAAATTTCAATTTTGAATGAATTTTGTCAGAAATTGTAAAGAATTTAGATTTTTGAAAAATAAATTAAACTCAACGCAAAATTACAATTATTTTTAATACAATTTTAATCGAATTCAATAAATTATTATAAATAAAAAATAAATTTAAATATCAATTTTAGTTAAAAACACTAAAATAATTAAATTTTTTTAGAATAGTTAGAAATGATAACAGAAATTCAATTATTTTCAAAAATAACAAAATTATGTTGAAAAATATTAAAAAAATTTAATTATCTTTAAAAATAATAAAATTCTTCTCCAAAATTAAATTATTTAAAAAATTTTCCTCAATTTAATGATTTTGAATATCAATTATTTTAATAAATTTTTCCAAAACAATAATTAAATGTTTGCATGGAATTTTTTGAAAATGTTTTTTAAATGATTATTTTTAAAAAAAAATTTAACAGAGTTCCATGCAAACATTTAATTATTTCCATAAATATATAATAAAAATTCTACTGGTATTCAATTATTTACAAATTTTTTTTTAATTTTCTTCGCAATAATTCAATTATTTTTGTAAATAATGAAACTCATTGCAGGATTTCAATTATTTTTAATAAAATTTTAAATAATTAAAATGTTTCCAAAATATTAATAGAATTCTTTTTGGAAACTCAATTATTTTCATAAATAATAAGAATTTTCAGAGGATTTAAATTATTTTTAATACAATTTGTAATGAATTTTTCGAAAAATGTTATTCATTTCAAAATATTTTGCAATAATTTAATTACATTTCACAAATAATAAAATTCTTCGCTGAAATTCAAATAATTTCAAAATTTACTACTTTAAAAAATATTTTCTCAAAAGAATTCAATTTCATCAAAAAAATGTAAAAAATATTTAAAATAATTAAATTCTTGCTACGACTTTTATTAAATTTTATTTTATATAATAGAAATCTTGTGAATTGAATTCTTGCAACGAATTTTATTACATTTTTTTTAAAGAAATTGAATTCTTTTGAGAAAATATTTTTTAAAGTAATTTTGAAAATATTTGAATTTCAGTGAAGAATTTTATTGTTTGTGAAATGTAATTGAATTATTGCAAAAAATTTTGAAATTAATTACATTTTTCGAGAAATGCATTAAAAATTGTATTAAAAATAATTGAAATCCTCTGAAAAATTTTATTATTTATGAAAATAATTTAATTCACGTGAAAAATTTTATTATCTGTAAAAATAATTGAATTTTTGTAAAGAATATTATTAAAATTTTTGTAAATAATTTAATTTTGTCTGAAAAATTTTATGGATATTCAAATAAAATTATAAGTTGTAGAATTTCAAAAAGTTTGAATTAAAAAATTTTAAAAGTCTTAATTTCTATGGAAAAATAATAATGTTTAAATATTTATTTGAAAATAAAGTTAACATTTTCGAATAATTTTACAATTAGAGGAATCAGAATATTCTTTTGATTTGGGGAAAAAGTCAAAATTTTGTCTGGGAATCAGGGAAAAACAAAATTATTTTTTTGTGGTAACCCTGTTTCAATAAAAAAAAATTAAAGGACTTAAAAAAACGTAGTCGTTTATTTGAACGTTCAAAACTTGAAGAAAACAATGGTTTAGTTTTATTAGATGAATTCTTTTTTTAGAGAATTGAAAAAGAAAAACAAATCGCTCCTAATCATGTGGGATTTAATAATAGAAAAAATTGTGTCAAAATAGAAATAGGTTTGTTAACGATTTTTAAAGTCTTGAAAGATTAGCGAAATCTAGTTGGAAATGATAAGAAAAGACATATTTTTTTCGAGTGATTTCTTAACCCCTTGACTTATCTCGACACTTAGTGTATTTCAATTGCGATTAATTCCATCTCTTCAATATGTACAAGTCGAGAATTCAGCTCCATTGGAGTTAAGTGATTGCTGCTACATTTAAGAAGGATAAAAGAATCGATATTGTGTCATATCGAGACTAATGAAGAAAGAAAAAAAGGAGGAAATTTAATATTTCCTTCCTTGTCTCGAGGAAATTGCCCTTTTCCTTTTTGTTTTGTAAAAAGACCTTTTTTCCATTCATATTTTTTTTAGACTTTTTTTTAACATTTAAAAAAAATTTTTTTCATAATTTTAAAATATTTTTTAACTTTTTTAATTATTTTTTTAACTTTTTTTAACTGTACATTATTTTTAATTACTGAATTAAAACAAGAGTGTAATTGGAAATATGTTTTGAATTTGCAGCTCAAAAAACTCTGCAGATTTTCAATATTGAGATGAAATCAAAAATGAAAGCTCACACAATGACGGAGGATGTTGTCTTTTGGAAATGGATTTCATTGAATACATTGGCATTAGTGACAGAGACTGCCGTCTATCATTGGTCAATGGAAGGTGATTCGACACCAAATAAAGTATTCGATCGTCACTCATCATTGAATGGATGTCAAATTATCAATTATCGAACAGACGCTAAACAAACGTGGTTACTATTAATTGGTATATCCGCGCAGCATAGTCGCGTTGCCGGTGCAATGCAACTTTATTCCGTTGAACGTAAATGCTCACAGCCAATTGAAGGTCATGCGGCATCATTTGCACAATTTAAAATGGAAGGAAATCCCGAGCCAAGTAATCTATTTTGCTTTGCCGTGAGAACAGTGCAAGGCGCTAAATTGCATATTATCGAAGTCGGTCAACCACCATCCGGCAATCATCCATTCCCGAAGAAAGCAGTTGAAGTTTTCTTTCCATCAGAGGCGGGAAATGATTTTCCAGTTGCAATGCAAGTCAGCTCCAAGTATGATGTAATTTATTTAATTACAAAATATGGCTATATTCATATGTACGATATTGAATCGGCAACGTGTATATTCATGAATCGAATTTCGGGTGAAACAATATTTGTCACTGCTCCACATGAGGCGTCTGGCGGTATTATTGGCGTTAATCGTAAGGGTCAAGTGCTCTCGGTTTCAGTTGAGGAAGAAAATATCATTCCCTATATTAATGGAGTATTGCAAAATCCTGAATTGGCGTTGAGAATGGCAGTGAGAAATAATTTGTCAGGCGCTGAGGATCTTTTTGTGAGGAAATTTAATATGCTCTTTCAAAATGGACAGTACGCTGAGGCCGCTAAAGTCGCTGCAAATGCTCCTAAAGGAATACTCAGAACTCCAGCAACAATACAACGATTTCAACAGGTATTTAGACTATTCATTTTTTTATTTTAGTATTTTTATTTTTTTTAAAACTAACAGGCTTCGCACTCATCTACTAAAATCTACTTTTTACAATTTTGATACTGTTTGGATACTTTCGCTTAGATTTCTGACACTAAAAACTACTTTTTTCTTTTTTTTTTGAGAGAGAGAGAAAATTTGCATTACTTTAAATTCGCTATTAGTTAAAATAAAAAAATTATTCCTAATAATTCTTAATACCATTTTTTGGAACCATTTTTTTTAAAATACAATTCTTTGAAACGATTAAATTATTTTCAAAAATTTTTCGAAATTCAATTATTTTCGATATCTACTATTTTAATAAAATTTCCAAAAAGAATTCAATTATATAAAAAAAATCGATAAAACTCTTCAAAAACATTCAATTTTTTTCAAAAATAATAAAGTTTTCTCAGGAATTCAAATATTTAATGTACAATTTTAATAAAATTTTTTCGAAAAAATGTATTATTTAAAGAAATTTTAATAAAATTCAATTCAATTGAATTATTTTGATAACTAATTAAACTCGTCAAAGAATTTCAATTATTTTTATTAGAATTTTCAAGGAATACATCAAAAACTGCAATTATTCTATAAAGTTTAATTACAAATCTTTAAAAATATTTCCAACAATTTTGATAAAATTATTTATAAGGATTCATTCCAAATCATTTTGAATATTTTAATTCCCATTAAAAAATAAATAAGTATTTAAATATTTATTTAACAAAAATTACTCACGTTTTGATTCAATTTATTCATAAATATTCAATTATTCAAGTTATTCAATTATTGAAAATAAAATTTATAAAATTCTAGGCAAAAATTAAATTATTTTCATAAATAAAGAGATATTCAAATCAATTAAATTATTTAAAATTTAATTTTCATAAAAGTTTTCAAAAAAAATCGAATATTTAAAAAAAATTTAATAATTTATTGCAAGATTTCAATTATTTTTTATACAATTTTAAATTAATTTCTCTAAAGAATTCAATTTTTTTTAAATATTAATAAAATTCTTTGTATAATTCAATTATTTACAATTTTATCAAATTCTTCTTAGAAATTCAATTATTTTCAGAAATTTCAACAAAATTCTTCGCAAAAATTCAATTATTTACAATTTTCATACAATTTTATAAAACGTTTCTTGGAAATTCAATTATTTTCAAAAGTTTTTAGAAAATTCTTTGCGAAAATTCAATTATTTTCATAAGTAATAGAATTTTTTGTAAAAATTAAATTATTTACTATTTTCATACAATTTTATAAAATTTTTCTTAGAAATTCAATTATTTTCAAAAGTTTTAAGAAAATTTTTCGCAAAAATTCAATTATTTTTATAAGTAATTAAAATTCTTTGCTGGAATTCAATTATTTTCACAAATAATAAAATTTGTACGAAAATTCAATTATTTAACAAATTTTCAATAAAATTCGTCTCAAAAATTCAATTATTTTCAAAATTTAATTGAAATTTCTGAAAATTTTAATTGTAAAACAGTAATAATATTTAAATTTTTAATTTGACAAATTATTAATTTATAATAATTTAATTTTCTTTAATTTTCTCAAAAAATTAAAGTTTTAATTAATTTTATTTAAAACTTTTAAGAAAGAAATGAATGAATTTTGAAGAATTACAGTTGTAATTTTTATAGAAATAGTAAAATTTTAAAGTAGGTTTTTCATTGAAATAATTTAAAATATTTTAATTGCTGTGAAGTAATAAATATTAAAATATTTATTTATCAAACATTATTATTGAAGTTATTCATGTAAATTTAATTTAGAAATTATGGAAAAAATTAGCCGTTTCAAAAATTGTAATTAAAATTTTTTCAAAATAGTTCAATTAATTTAAAAAGATTAAATTAAATTTCTAATTCTTTGAAAATGTTAAATTCGTCAAATTTTATTGATATAAATTTTATATTTTAAAGAATTGTATTTTTTTACTATTAATAATTATTTTTAAATATAATCCTATTTTTGAAGAATTCTAACCAAAAATTTGTCAAAGTAATTAAGTTTTTGAAAAATTTAGAATGTAAATTATTATCAGGATAAGAAAAAAAGTAAATATTTTGTATAAGAATTAGGAAAAATCAGGGAAATGAAATACAGAATCAAATTTTTGTGATTTTTATCAAATCGTCTAAAACGAGTTGTTTTAGTAGTCAAATTTTTCGATATCTAATTTTTTCAAACTTGAAACTACCTTTTGCTATTCTTTTTAAATTAATTATCGAGTCCGAAACCTGAACTAATTATTTTTCACTTCTTTTTTTGTTACTAAAAGAAATTTGAGACGATTTTCTTCTCTTTGCTTTACAGGTACCAACGACTACAGGTCAAACTTCGCCGCTACTGCAATATTTCGGCATTCTTTTGGACCAAGGACAATTAAATAAATACGAATCGCTTGAATTGTGCCGTCCGGTATTGGTACAGGGGAGGAAACAACTATTGGAAAAATGGCTAAAGGAAGATAAACTCGAGTGCAGCGAGGAATTGGGTGATTTAGTAAAGCAAGCAGATCCCACATTGGCGCTCAGTGTTTATTTGCGTGCGAATGTGCCGAATAAAGTTATTCAGTGTTTCGCCGAAACGGGACAATTTCAAAAGATTGTCCTCTACGCAAAGAAAGTTTCATATACACCGGACTATATATTTTTACTAAGAAACGTTATGAGAATTAATCCCGATCAGGGAGTAGCTTTCGCCCAAATGTTAGTGCAAGATGACGAACCGTTAGCTGATATTAATCAGGTAATTTTTTTTATCATATTCTCTTCTCTTTTCTTTTTCTTTTCTTTTCTTCAATTCAATTCAATTTCAATTTCAATTAAGAATAATTAATAATTAATATTAGTTTTATTTTTAATTTATTATTTACTACAGTAAAAATATTTATGGAGCAAAATATGGGACTAGTTTTTAATTTACTTCGGATTGTATAAACACATTTTTGGAGTAGAATCACAAATTAATTTCTCTTGTTTATTGCAGATTGTAGACATATTTATGGAGCAAAATATGGTGCAGCAGTGTACGGCCTTTTTGTTGGACGCCTTGAAAAATAATCGCCCCAGCGAGGGTGCCTTGCAGACGCGTCTCCTTGAGATGAATTTAATGTCAGCGCCGCAAGTGGCAGATGCAATTTTAGGAAATCAAATGTTCACACACTATGATCGCGCTCATGTTGCACAATTGTGCGAAAAAGCTGGACTATTGCAAAGGGCTCTTGAACATTACACCGATTTGTATGATATTAAACGAGCTGTTGTTCATACACATTTATTGTCGCCCGATTGGCTCGTTGGATTTTTCGGCACACTCTCAGTTGAGGATTCACTCGAGTGCTTGAAAGCAATGCTCACTGCAAACATCAGGCAAAATTTACAAATTTGCGTTCAAATTGCCACCAAGTATCACGAGCAATTGACAACAAAAGCGCTTATTGGTAATTATTTTTTTTTCTCTTTACTGTTTATTTCTATTTGACTTTCAAGATTTTTTTCTTGGCTTTCTTTTAATATTAATATTCCATTCGTTTTCATTTAAAATTAATATAATATATAATATAATAATTCTTTCATTCATTAATTAATTCATTCAATTATATGAAACGAATTTTATTTAATTTTTACTAATTGTAATGTTTTTTCGTAGATCTCTTTGAGAGTTTCAAATCGTACGAGGGACTGTTCTATTTCCTTGGCTCTATTGTGAATTTCAGTCAAGATCAGGAAGTGCACTTTAAATATATTCAAGCTGCGTGTAAAACTGGACAGATCAAAGAAGTTGAACGTATTTGTCGTGAGAGTAATTGTTACAATGCTGAGAGAGTGAAAAACTTCCTAAAGGAGGCAAAGCTCTCTGATCAGTTACCGTTGATCATCGTGTGTGATCGTTTCGATTTTGTGCACGATCTTGTGTTATACTTGTACAGAAATAATTTACAAAAATATATTGAAATTTATGTGCAAAAGGTGAGAGATTACATTTTTAATTAGAAACAACTAGAAATATTAGAAATAGAATTATTATTTTAATTAGAACAATTAGAACTAGAAATATTTTAATTTAATAATGAAAATTTAATCTTCAAGTGTTGGAAAGTTTATTTTAAAATTTCCTTTCTCTTTCAGGTGAATCCTTCGCGATTGCCAGTCGTTATCGGTGGATTGTTGGATGTTGATTGTTCTGAGGACATAATAAAAAATTTGATTTTAGTCGTTCGTGGACAATTTTCCACAGATGAACTTGTGGAAGAGGTGGAGAAACGTAATCGATTGAAGTTGTTGCTCCCTTGGCTTGAATCGCGTGTTCATGAAGGATGTGTCGAGCCAGCTACTCATAACGCTTTAGCCAAAATTTATATTGATAGCAATAACAATCCGGAAAGATTCCTCAAGTAAGTGACTTAAATAAAATAAAAATTGCTTAAATTTCTATTCTTCTCCTAAAATAAATAATTATAATAAAGAAATTATTTTATCTTCACATTAATTTATTTTCAAGTAGAATCAGTTTTCTAATATGATATTAGAAAATATTTAATATTTTAAGTTTTTGTAATTGAAAAAATGAATTTTAATTTCCAGGGAGAATCAATTTTACGACAGCAGAGTGGTGGGAAAATATTGCGAGAAACGTGATCCACATTTGGCTTGCATTGCTTATGAGCGCGGACAATGCGATCGCGAATTAATAAGTGTTTGCAATGAGAATAGTCTTTTCAAGAGTGAAGCAAGGTATCTCGTGAGACGAAGAGATCCGGATCTATGGGCTGAAGTTCTTCTCGAGAGCAATCCTTACAAGCGACCATTGATCGATCAGGTGAAGTAATCTTTTGTTTTCATAAAGGTCAAAGTTGCTGGACTCCTAAAATAAATTTATACTTTTATTGAACTTATTTCTTTGGATATAATTCCTTTGATCTTATTACAATTCTGTACTTTTATTTCTTTTCATATTTTTTATTTTCAGTAATTTTGTAATTAAATCTTTGTTTAGGTGGTACAAACTGCTTTGTCAGAGACACAGGATCCGGAGGATATATCAGTGACTGTAAAGGCATTCATGACAGCCGATTTGCCAAATGAATTGATTGAACTTCTTGAGAAAATTGTTCTCGACAGTAGCGTTTTCAGTGATCATCGTAATTTACAAAATCTCTTGATCTTGACGGCAATTAAGGCCGATCGTACCCGAGTTATGGAGTACATTAATCGTTTAGATAATTACGATGCACCCGATATTGCAAACATTGCTATTAATAATGAACTCTACGAGGAAGCTTTTGCTATTTTCAAGAAATTCGACGTCAATACGTCCGCTATTCAAGTGTTGATTGATCAGGTCAATAATCTCGACAGGGCTTACGAATTCGCTGAAAGGTGAATTTCTCAATTTCTAATTTCTCTGATTAGATAACTAATCACCTTCTAATTTCTAATTAAATAAAATTTAAATTAATTAAATTAAATAATTAATTCAATTTAAATTCTAAATAAATTAAATAGTTATTGAAATTTAATTTAAATTCTAATTGAGTGAAATTTTGTACTTTCCATCAAGTGAGGTGTTATTTTATTTAAACTTTCTTTTTTACAGGTGTAATGAACCGGCTGTTTGGTCTCAATTGGCCAAGGCTCAATTGAATCAGGGTTTGGTTAAGGAATCGATTGACAGCTACATCAAGGCTGATGATCCAACTGCTTACGTTGACGTTGTGGAAACTGCTCACAGAACATCACACTGGGAGGATCTTGTACGCTATCTTCAGATGGCACGCAAGAAAACTAGAGAATCATTTATTGAAAGTGAATTAATTTATGCCTACGCTCGCACCAATCGACTTGCTGATCTCGAAGAATTTATCTCCGGACCAAATCATGCTGATATTCAAAAGGTATTCAAATATTCATTTATTCTGAAATTAACAATTAATTGAACAAATTAACAAAAAACAAAAATAGAAATTAAATATCTACAGAGTTGCCACAGGTCAGGGAAAAACAAAATTAAATTTTTGTGACTACCCTGAATTTAGAAAAAATCGAATAGAATTAAAATATTTCAGGGCTCGAACTAGGTCTACAAATCCCGTAAATTTGCTTGAAGTCCGTAAAAGTCAGATTTTTTGAAAAAAGATCCGTTAAGTCCGTAATTTGATCGAAAAAGGACGAAAAAGTTGATAAATTGTACGATATAATTTGCAGAATTTTAGAGAAATTACAAATGAATGCAGAAATTTAATTATTTTCAAAAGTAATAAAATTCTTCGCATAATTTTAAACATGTTCAAAAATTTTTTTAAATTCTCGTCAAAATTTGAATTATTTTTAGAAATAATTAAATTCTCCGAAATTCAATTATTTTCAAAAAGTTTTAATAAATTTCGAGGCAAAATTTCAATTATTTTCAAAAATTTTCCTCAATTCAATGATTTTTAATACAATTTTAATAAAATTTCCCAAAAGAATTCAATTATTTAAAAATTTTTTAATAAAATTCTGCAGAAGGAATTTAATGAATTTTATTTAATAAAATTTTTTCACAAGGAATTCAATTTAAATTGAAATATTTAAAAATTTTTTGATAAAATTCTTTATGAGAATTCAATTTAAAGAAACGTTCAATTATTCAATAAGTTATTAATTTTTTCATTTAAATAATATTAAACTCTCGTAGAATTTTCTAATAAAAATTTATTTCAAAATGAATTTTTTTTGAGAAAGTTTAATTGCGGATTTTTTTTAAAATTATTTTTAATTTCTATTTTCAAAATATTTAATTGAAGGATTTCCGAATAATCGAAATTTTGTAAAATTTAATTGTAGACAAACGAATTTGAAAATGCTCAATAATTTTTTTGCTAAAATTGTTAAAAATAATTTATAATTGAATTTTTTCAAAGAATTTTAATACAATTTTTGAAAATAATTACATTTTTCGAAAAATTTTCTTAAAATTGAAATCATGAAAAGAATAATATTATTTAGAAGAATAATTGAATTCTTGCAACGAATTTTTATTTGCATTTTCTTTTTAAATAATTAAAATCCTGCGAATAATGTTGTAATTCATGAAAATAATTGAATTTTTGCCACGAATTGTAAACATGATTTTGAAGATTCTTAAAGAACTTTTGCAAAAGTATTAAAAATAGTGCATTTATAGAAGAATTTTAGTTAAAAACACAAAAAAAGATTTAGTTTTGGAAAAGTTAGAAATTATTGCAGAAATTCAATTATTTTCATAAATGATAAAATTTGTACAGGGATTCAATTATTTTCGTAATTATTAAAAATAATTGATTTATAGAAGAATTTTAGTTAAGGTATTAGTCGCGTAAAATGGTTTTCGTCAGATTTTTTTCAAATTTTGCATACTTATTCCTGAAGTATTTATCTACAGAATGAGACCAATTTCATTAATTTTGACCGTTTCAAAGCTTCAAAAAATGAATTCAAAGTTCATACATTTTGCATGGAGGGAGCACCCAATGCATGTATTAATTTTGTTTAATAATTATTTATATGATAACTAATCGTCAGATTTTGAAATAAAACTACCAAAGTATTCAATTAGATGAAACAAATGAATAGAAAAAACATGACATTTTTTGACCGCACCAAACTATAAATATATTGACAGAAAGTTAAAAAAATAACTAAATTATACGAATTTTCATACGAATGAATAGAGTAGGGAGTTAAACTGTCTCTCTCACTCTCACTGCCCCACTCTAGTAAGCGGCCCGGTAAACCTTTGGCCAGAGCCAGCAGCGCGACTACTACCTTAAAAATACGAAAATAAAATTCAATTTTTGAAAAGTTTCAAATTATTGCAGAAATTTAATTATTTTCAAGAGTAATAGTATTCTTCGCAAAAATTAAAATTTGTTGAAAAATAATAAAATTCTTCTCAGGAATTCAATTATTTTTCACAAATAATAAAATTCATCGGAGAATTTCAATTATTTTTAATACAATTTTAATAAAATTTCTTGAAAAGTGTAATTATTCTTAAAAATGTTATTAAAATTCGTCAAAAGAATTTAATTATTTATGAATCTATTAATAAAATTCTTTATAAGAATTGAATTTTAAGAAACATTCAATCATTCAATCAATTGTTTATTTTTGTATTTAAATAATTGAATTCTAGTAGAATTTTCCAATAAAAATTGATTTAAAAATGAATTTCAGTTAAAATTTTAGATAATAATTGAATATTTAAAGCGTGCGTTTTTAGAAATAATTTAATTTTGAAATTTATTTTTTTGAAAAAGTTTAATTGCGGATTTTTTCAAATGTTATTTGAAGTTTTTATTTTCTAATATATATTTAATTGGAGAATTTACAAATAATTGAAATTTCGTAAAATTGAATATTGTAGACAAATAGATTTGAAAATTGCCAAAAAACTTTTTCGGAAATTATTAAAAATAATCAATTTAAATTTTAATTAAAAATTCTTGATAATAATAATTGAATTGATAATAATAAATTGTATCACTTGGTCGTCTTTATTATAAAACAAAGAAATTGATCACTCCGAGTCGAAGACTTGGAGTTATCGATATCTTCATGTTTTATAGTTACGACCAATTATTGGTTCGTAAATTTATTTATTTACTTACATACACGGGCAATGCACTTTATTACAATATTAATAAAAACTTGTACAAAAGAAAGAACAATTTTAATCTTGAAAGAAGTATTTACTAAAAATGGTAAATGGTCCATAATTTTTCATTTTTGTCCGTAAAGTCCGTCTTTTTAAATACTTTCACTGGTTCGAGCCCTGAATATTTAGAAAAAATCAAATACAAATAAAGTATTTAGAAAATGTTTTTTAAAAGAGAATTTTATAGTGAAATGTTTATTTTTCTATTCAGATTGGCGATCGATGCTTCGATGATAAAATGTACGAGCCAGCAAAGTTGTTGTACAACAATGTGTCGAATTTTGCCCGCCTCGCGATAACATTGGTTCATTTGAAGGAGTTCCAGGGCGCTGTTGACAGTGCAAGAAAGGCAAATTCCACGCGCACTTGGAAGGAGGTTTGTTTCGCCTGCGTTGACAGCGGTGAATTTCGATTGGCACAAATGTGCGGCTTGCACATTGTCGTCCACGCGGATGAACTCGAGGATCTTATAAATTACTATCAGGATCGTGGCCACTTTGAGGAGTTGATTAATCTTTTGGAAGCAGCATTGGGACTTGAGAGAGCACACATGGGAATGTTCACTGAACTCGCAATTCTTTACAGTAAATTCAAACCCCAGAGAATGAGGGAACATTTGGAATTATTTTGGTCGCGTGTCAATATTCCAAAAGTGTTGCGCGCCGCCGAACAAGCGCATTTATGGGCTGAACTTGTATTTTTATATGATAAATACGAGGAATATGATAATGCAGTTTTGGCAATGATGCAACATCCCACGGAGGCATGGAGAGAGGGACATTTCAAGGATGTTATCACTAAAGTCGCGAATGTTGAACTCTACTACAAGGCTATACAATTTTACGTGGAATTCAAACCACTTTTGTTGAATGATATTTTACTTGTTCTTGCGCCACGTATGGATCATACAAGATCGGTGGCTTATTTCACGCGATTTGATCATTTGCAATTGGTGAAACCGTACTTGCGCTCGGTTCAGGCATTAAATAATAAGGCAATCAATGAGGCTTTAAATGGTTTGTTGATTGATGAAGAGGATTATCAGGGTTTGAGAACGTCGATAGACGCTTTCGATAATTTCGATAATATTGCTCTTGCTCAGCAATTAGAGAAGCACGAGTTGATTGAATTTAGACGAATTGCCGCCTATTTATATAAGGGCAATAATAGATGGAAACAGTCTGTGGAATTGTGCAAAAAGGATAGATTATTTAGGTGAGATTATTACTTTATTCTATTTGAATTGAAATTAAATATTAGGATGAAATTTTGATTCGAAATTTAATATAAAGTTTAGTGTGAAATAAACGAAGAATTGAACGTTTAAGGAGATAAAATAATTTTCTGTCTTTCTTTTTTCAAGGGATGCGATGGAATATGCGGCCGAGTCTCGTCAAGCAGAAGTCGCCGAGGAATTGCTGGAATGGTTCTTGGAGAGGGGATCGAAAGATTGTTTCGCGGCGTGCCTTTTCCATTGTTACGATTTACTTCATCCGGACGTAATTTTGGAACTTGCGTGGAGACACAAAATTCTGCACTTCGCAATGCCTTACCTCATCCAAGTCGCGCGAGAATACATCTCGAAGGTAAGAGATATTTTTAACATTATTTATAATTCGTAATATTTTAGTTAATAATTTTATTTCATGAGAATAATAATTATTTGTATTTCATAATTTGCATAATAATAAGAATACATCATTTTGTCGCGGAATATGGTAACATTTGCTAATTAAAGGCCTCGAATTAAGACTTTCTGGACTTTTATCAACCATTTTCAAAGAAAAGGGGACTTATTCTTTTTATTTTCTCAAAATACGATTTTTTTTATCTTTATTCGACAAATGCGATTTTTTTTAGTTTTAAAGTCGATCCGAGGCCTTTAATTATAATAATATGAATAATACTACTTTTATTTCAATGATTATTCTTCGTAATTACTTTAATAAAATATTTTATTTATATTTTAATAAAATTTATATTTTTATAGGTTGATAAATTGGAAGAATCTGAAAATCGACGTTTAGAAGAGACTGATGATCATGAAGTTAAACCTATGATTATGCGTGAGTAATATTTTATAATAATGAAAATTTTCCATTGTACACACAAATTACAGCAATTATAGTGTTTATAATAAAAAAAAAAATAATTCAAATTCGCAGCCGAACCACAATTGATGTTAACGGCAGGACCGGGAATGATGGCACCAGGCTACGCACCTGCAGGTGTATATGGAGCACCTGCCCAAGGGGTTTATGCACCGGCAGCGGCGGCGTACCAGGGATACGGCATGTGAGAACCATTCTATAACTCATTTACCAATACCGATCAACATTTACTTTTCTATAAGGCTTAGATCAAGAGTACCGCCCTTAGAATTTTAGACGTAAATTAAAAAAAAAAAAAAACGCTGAAGAAATGTCACCACAGAGCAGACATCGTTACGCTTAGACCAGTCTATGCTATTAATAAAAAAATAAATAAATCGATATAAGACGTCGTCCCGTCATTATATCAAAAAAAAAAAATATTTATTGCAAATTTGTAGATACAAGAAAACAATTGACTGTCAATCATTTATTTAATGATTGAATAACCCTGTAAAGAATTTAAAAAGAAAGCATTCTCTAAATGAAAAATAATTCGATAATAAATTTCCCTCTCGTGGAGAAGAAATAAATTTTTAAAAAATTCTCACTCAGAATTTACTGAGAAAAAAATGAAAATTTATCATTAGAATTTTCGTGTTGTATAAAAAAGATTGTGTCAGGTGTGTGTAGTTTGCTTGTGGCATGACTTCCGAAATACTCTACGTCGTCCCTCTTCCAGAAAAGCAAACAAAAAAAACTGAAAATTTAATTGAATATAAATCTTGATGTAAACAGACAGAAAAAAATGCAACTCGTATAACTCAATTTGATCGTTAAAAAAATGAAATTTGAATAATGACTCCGAGTCATTGATTTATAAAAGTATTTTCTTTTTTTCAAAGGAAAAAAGAATTTTTTTTAAGGACATTGTGAACTTATTTGTTAAAGTGGCAGTTATTGAAATCTAACTGCCTATTTCTGTTATTTGTTCCGTCGTATATTTTGTTACTTGTCCAGACGTATTTTAGATAGAATTCCATTTAAACTGAAAGAATGAAAGAGAGAGAGAGAAATAACTTCAAGTATTTTGATTTTGACCTATTATGTAGAATTACGTCTCTAATTTAATTAGAACCACCAACCCCTCTTTTTTCCCCCAGCGTGACGTCTTTAATCGGTGTAACTAAAAATAGTTCGAGTAGTAATTCCCATCTTTCTTTTTTTTAATAAAACAGAATTTTTTAAATATTTTGTAAACGCTTGTCTCTGGTTTCTTGTTTTCTTATAAACTTTTTTAAATCGATTTCAATAATTAATATTGCCTTGAGAAAAAAAAATGAGAAAGAAAAGTCTATCTAGTAAACTTTAGTAAAAACATTGTTTTTCTATGAAAAAAAGCACTTTTAGGAAATGAGATTTGTACTCTCATTTCACTGCTATACAATTCATTCTATAGATTAATGTGATGGTCTTGACTATTTTGGACAATATCCATTCTCTTCGTCCTTGTAGGAAAAAGATACAGAAAACTTGGAAAAAAAGGTTAATTTTTTTTCCCAACAACTTAATTTTTCTGAGATATCACGAGTGTTTGACAATTTTTCAATCCCGGTAAATACGCATAGGTATTAGTTTGAAAAGCAGTAAAAAAATAGATGGACACGAGTGAAAGATTATGACATTCCCATTTAAAAAAAAGAAATCTAAAATTATGTCCTTGCACTGTATTTTCGAAATTAAATCCTAAAAATGAAAAAAAAACCAACATGAACGAATGAATTTGTTTCAATTTTTGAGCCGCATTGTTTGTGGTTCTGACGCAAGTTGTTATTGTATTGATATATCATATAATTATTTGAATATTGTGAATTATAATTATTGGATGAGAAAAACAAACGAGAGCAAAACAAGATCGATAATTATACATATATATTATAAATACATAATTATATATTAAACTGGTAATTAATAATATAACGTGTAAGTAGTAGATATACATATAATATAATAATACAAATTAAAAGAAAAAAAATCGTATTAACGAAAAGAAAATAAATTATAGACGAAAAAAAATGGAATATGTTTAATTGATTTGCATGATCAATGTGGTGCAGGACACATTTTGTTGTTTCCAATTGTAATATGTAATGAAATGTGCGGAAAATGCTATATATGAATAGTTTGAAATAAAAATGAAGCGTGTTTCGAAATTATTTTCAATGTCAACTTCCTGCTTCAGTTAATTTAATATTTTTTTTTTGTTTCCATACACATCAGAATGTAAATTTTAAAACTCAATAAATAATATGATTTATGGTTTTAATGAAATTGGGAAATTATTATTTATTTTAAAAAATTATTTACAAACATGGAGATTGTTAAATAAAACTTGATTTACTACTTATATAATCTTGATTTAGTGTTAAAAATCTTAATATAGTTTTTTTCTAGGACTGTACAAATTTACTTTCTAGATTTATAAATCCGGTATTTGGGCGTTTTTGAATTTTCTAACCGATCTCTCCGCTGGTCGAATGCAAAGTTCTTTGCCTAAAACTTCTAGACGGGCGTTGTCTAGAATTATTTCAAATTTTGATGTTTCCTTCGGAACAGCTGAAATAAAATAAAAATATAAACTATTAGTGGTTTAAATATAAATAATTAAACACGTGTCTTTAAAGTTATGAACGACGATATTTTTTTACTACTTTTAATTTGAATCTTATTTGCAAAATATTATTTTTTATAATTGAAAAATTCGTTTTTAACTCAACCAATTATTATTTTCTAAAATTTTGAACTAAAGTTCTTTAAAATCAATTATTTCTATAATAATTTTTGAAAAAGTTCATTTTCAGAATTTTCAAATCCATTTGTTTACAATTTAATTTTAGGTGAAATTTCGATTATTCAGAAATTCTTCAATTAAATATATATTAGAAAATAAAAACTTAAAATTTATAAGAAAAAGTCAATTAAACTTTTTCAAAAAAATTAATTCCGCAGAATTCTTAGTTGAAAGTATAAAAAATTCTAATTCTCAAAGATTCAATTTTTTTCTAGTTTTTGACTTAAATTCTTCGCTAAATCAATTATTTTTAGTAATTTAATAATTAATATTACCTAAAAATTAAAAATTAAAAAATATTAAAAAATTCAATTAATTTTAAAAGAATCAGAATTAAAATTTTTCTAAAAAAAATAGTTCTACAGAATTGTTAATTAAAAGTATGAAAAATAAAGATTATCAAAGATTTTCATTTGAAAAATTTTCAAAATCCAAATAATTCTAAAAATTGCTATTTATTCATAACTTCTCCAACATTCTATTATTTTTTTTACATGTTTTAACTAAAATTCTTCTCTAAATCAAATATTTTTAATATTTAAGTGTATATTTATTAAAAAATTCAACTACTTTTAAATGAATTACAATTAAAAATTTTTATAAAACTGAGAATTTAAAAATTTTTAATTAAATTTATTTAAAATTCAAATTTTCAAAAATTTTAAATTGATACAATTTGAAATTTAATTATTTATAAAAATTCAGACTAAAATTCTTTTAATTTTCAATTATTATCTAAAACTTTAATTGAAATTCATTTTTAAATCAATTTTTATTAAAAAATTCTACGAGAATTCAAATATTTAAATACGAAAATAAATAATTTATTGAATAATTGAATTTTCTTAAATCTGAATTCTCATAAAGAATTTTACTAAGAAATTATTAAATTATTGAATTTATCCCTGTAAAAATTCTATTATTTATGAAAATAATTGAATTATTGTAAAGAAATTTTTTTAAATTTTGTAAATAATTGAATTCCTGTGAAATTTTCATTATTTATGAAAGTAATTAAATGTTTACGTAGAATTTTATTACAATCTTTTTTAAATAATTGAATTCTGCTGGAAACATTTATTAAAATAGTAAATATTAAAAACCATTGAATTGAGGAAAATTTTTGAAAATAATTGAAATTTTGTTAAGAATTTTATTAAAATTTTTGAAAATAATTGAATTTCAGAATTTTATAATTTATAACAATAATTAAAATTTTGACGAGAGTATTTAAAAATTTTTTAACATAATTGAATTTTTGCGAAGAATTTTATTACTTTTGAAAATAATTGAATTTCTGCAATCATTTCTTACTTCTCCAAAATTAAATTATTTTTAGTGTTTTTTACTAAAACTCTTCTATTTATTTGAAAATTTCTATTTATTTAAAATTTCTATCATTTCAAAATTAATTAAATTAAAAAATTAGCAAATTGCAGTAGAATTTGAATTATTAAGTTTTTTCAAAAATCTAAGTTCTTTAAAATTTCTAATTCAATTCATACAAAATTGAAATTTTCCTAAATTTCAAATCAAAACCTTTTGAAGTTAATCTATTTACGAAAATTGTAAACGTAACTCTTAGAATTCAATTAATTTTGTAATATTTAAGTAAAATTATTTCATTTAATAATTTATAAGTAATAATTTTATGATAGTCCTTCAAGTATTAAGTTTTTTAAAAATAAATTATTATCAGAAGTGGAAAAAATTGAAAGATTTAATTTACTTACTGCGAATAATATCGTCCTCTCCAATCAATCTAAAAGTATTTTTTGTATCCTGCAAAATAATTCCTTTGACACCAACTAAACTGGGACATTTTGATCTAATAACGGAAATTTTTGCTCCATGATAATCGGCTTTCATTATTTTTTGATTCACACTCTCCCAATTAGATTCCAGTGGATTATTCGGTATTTTACTGAAATTTTCAATTCCCAGCAAATTTCGCATATAATCTAACCAAATTTTATTCAGGGGAAGGAGATCTTTGAACGATAATTCTTTACTTGTCCCTTTATTTATATTGAGAAGAACCTTTTTTCTTATTCCCGAGTACGATCCCTTTTTCTGCTTCTTTTTCAACTGTGTTTTTTTCGATCTGTGTTTACCGAACAGAAATGTCTGAAAAAGAACCATTTTTTCAAAACTATTAGTTTAATTCTCAATTAAATTAATTAAATGTCTTAATTTTATATAATTTACTTATTTATCATTATTTATTAGCGTTTTTATAATTTATTTATTTGTTAATAGTTATTTATAAATGTTATTTAGGTATTTACTACTATTTATAATCAGGTTAATTTTTTGGTTTAATATTTTAAACCATTTTTACTTACTTTTTTCATTTCGTCGGGTATTCTTTTAATATCTGACGCCGGTAAAGTTTCATTTAAAAATTTTAAAATATATTGCTCCCTTGCTTCGTAAGTCGTTACATTATTTACAAGTGTTGCTGGCAACGGCTGGAATATTTCTTTAAAGAAAAGGAATATTTGAAACAGGATAAAATTTATTATAATTTACTATTTACTCTTAATTTCATTTAAGTCCCCAATTTTTAAACGTTTTAAACTTTGAGGGCTAATTCCAGATTTCAATCCTTTTTGTCAATTGAAAAATTCTGTTTAATTTTGTTAGTAAATTAATAAATAAAAATAAATTAATTTAAAGTAATAATAATTAAATATTAACAAGAGAAAACGTAAACTACACTTACTTTCCTGATTTTCCATTTTTACGAATAGTTCATAAATAATTATTGTCAATTAATATTGTATTATTTTTACTCCATTAATTAACGAAATAAATTTACAATTAAATTCTACTTATAAATTGTTTATATTTTTCTTTCTTTTTTTGTCAATATTTGGATTTGACATTTAATTTTTAGGTTATGTTGCACAGAACCACATTTATCGAACAATCTGAAGTTGACAGTTATTAGGCCGGATTTTCAATTGTAAACTCGAAATTTCCTTCTTTTTAAAATTCAACTCGATTGGATACGACGAGCGGTAATATTCAAAATTCTACTCCTGAATGGTCGATTCAAATCGTCGCGCTCAATTTCAACCAATAGGATTTTTGACTAGTTTATTAAGGAGCATGCGCAGTTCACATGACAGCGCTCACTTCACTCGAGTGGAGGCGTCATTCCAGTGTTGACACCCGAACTTCACATTCGTCAGTAAGGTTGGTTACTCCAAACAGTGCGGATGTGTGTTTATTAATAGAGAAAAAAAAGCAAGTAAACGGGATAAACTATCGTGATGATCATATTTGCATGAAACATTGCGAATTTTCGCCGTAAATAGTTACTGAAAAATGGCAAGTGATATTTGGTGTTATTCTTCATCTGCAACAAGGTGCTTATACAGTGATTCGGTGCAGTGGAAATCGGTGCTTGTTTGGGTATTACTGGTGATAACGACTCTTCCCGCTGTCCTGTCCCAGAATCAAGGTAAGCTTGTTTATAAAAACATTTCTTTTTTTACACATGTCTCCCGCAAACATCCAATTTTATCCCACAAGGGTTTTTTTTAGTGGAACTTATAGAGAATTAAAATTTCCTAACATTTAAATTGTCTTGATTATTTCTGTGACTCTTTTTTTAAGTGAACTATTTTGAAATTCTTTCTCGAACCGATTTGAAATAATCGTGTTTTTTTAGAGTGTTAACGGTTCAACTGTTTTTGGTGTTTGTTTAACAATAGAGCTGAAATTTTTAAGGTTAGGAAATTGACCGCCTGTCAGTATAACCAGTTTTGTAATCAGGGAAAGTTTGCTATTGCGGGCGGATTTTTAAACCGAATATTATTTCATAAATAAAGAAAGTGGCAAACTGGTTTCGCTTAATCGGGAACAATATTTAACTTCTATTTGAATAGAAATAATTTTAGGAGTTAAAAATCGAAATTATTTATTTATTCTTATTATATTTTGATTTACTGTTTCGGGATAAACGAAGTCAATCAAGTATCTTGTGTGTTATCTCAAAGCAATCAACCCCCAAATAGCGAGAGAGACCTCCTGCCTCTTTTTAATTTTTCGATTCATTCCTCACATGCGTTGGAACGCGACGAAAAAAAATGTGGTTAAGCCGCATTTGTGAGGAGTTAAAATTATTATAACGTCGGAGACGAAGAATAATGGTTTTGTTCACAAAAGCGAGTAGTTATAATAGAATCGAAAAGCTTTGTTGGAGAACTTATAGGGGGGAGGGGAGGTTTTTCTGTCAAATGGACCGAATGAAAATACGCTCTAGTATACTTTTTTTTTTGCACTGTTATTGCTTTAACAATTACGTTCAAATAGTTTCAGACTTTTTCATTATATGATTCATAATGACTCACCAAGGTTCGAATGTGAAAGGCATTAAAAAAGGTGTATACGAGTTTCGGTTGAGTTGAGTTAATTCTTTTATTTTTTTACTTTACTTCTTTTAATTGTTACTTACGAAAATTCGCCGTTCCTTTTTCGGGAAGAAAGTGAAATTAAATTGAGAGTGTGCTAAAGGGAAAATGATGTTCAGTTAAAATTGTTTTTAATCGCGCCAAGAGTCGAGTGAAACTTTCGAGATGGAGATAAGTGCGAGTGAATTTAATTTTAATTGTTATAAAAGCGAGTGAATTTAATTGTTAAAACTTTAGGTACAAATTTTACGCAAGACGTACATTCGACAAACTTTTATTTACTGAATTCGAATTCTTATACAAGAATTCGAATTCAGTAAATAAAAGTTCGTCGAAAGACAATAAAATTTTTTTAATAATTAATTGGTAATATTAATTGAATTAAAGAATAAATAAATTAAATAAAAATTAAATTTCTTAGTCTCGTATAATAATATAGAAAAATAATAATTTTACCTTAACGAGAAATTGAAATTTGAGGTATTTTGATTGTTTTTACCCCCCCCCCCCCCCCCCCGCCCTGCCCCCTTTGCTGATTACGTGTCAAAAATTCCTGGAATAAAGAGCATTTTTTCGAGAAAATTGTTTTTTTTCATTATCTTCTGAATTTTTAACCCCAAATTTTTGAGATGAAAAATAATATTGTAGGCTTAATTTATTACTTGACTGTCGAGACATAATTTCCGGTTTAAGCAAAGCCGAAAGTGTCACGGTCTCTCTCTGTGCTGTTAAAAATTTTCAGCGCGTACGATTTTATACAGGATATTCGAGACTTTATCTTCTTTAGAAATCAGAAAAAAAGAAACAATCGGAAGCTGACTACCAGAAATGAATTTATTACAATTTTTTGAGATTTTTTTTGTTTTTATTTTTTAATTTATTACGGTCCCAATTTTTTGAAACAAAAAATGTTTGTAGCTTTTATTAATTTTTTTTTTTGACGTATTGGAAAGTTGATGATTGAAATCTATATTATTCGTGCGTTATGAATGTTAATTAAGGTCGATGGATAGCCTTTCAGAGGAAGAAAATAATCGGGTAACTATGTATAACTGTAAAATCTTTTCGAGACGTTTGTTAACGGGTTACTCTGTGTATTAGTTGTGGTACAAAACAGCTGCTAGGCTCATGGAGATTCTGAGTGATTGCACGGTCTAGTAAATTACGAAATATCTTCTGTTGTAATGAGTTTATCGATAAGAATTTTTTTGTAATCATAATTTTTTCTGTCAACATTTTTTTTTTGTTTGGTTTTTATTTTTATTTTATTAAAATTCAATATTAATTTAATTTCAATAAAATAAAAATATAAATGAATTAATTCATAAATAATTGTGTCAAAGAATTTTTTTATTTCGTCTTTACATTATTGAAATCTATATTAAATATTAATAATTAAATTAACAATTAATAATCATAAATAATTCATTCAAATTAAATTTATTAAAAATTTGCTTTTTTATTTTCCTTTCGAACAGATGTACAAAAACTTATTGCGTATTTTTTCCGTTCGTTTATCGTTTTTTTTCTACAAACGAGGCAAGGGTTAAACTTGTTACTGATAACGCTTATATAAATTTTTTTTCCGCTTCATGAAGTAAGTCTATATTTTTTAAATGAAATAATTTTTTTTATAAAAAGAAAAATAGTAAATAGAAAAAAAAACAAAATGGTAAATAAAGAAAGGTTCAAAATGTCAAATAGAAAAAACAAATTGGCAAATAGAAAATATCAAAATGGCAAATAAAAAAAAGTCCAAAATATGATAAATAAAATTGACCAAAATGATGAAAGAAAAAATTGAAAAAAAATAAATTTACCGTTAAATTAAAAATTTAACGGTACATCATGCATCATACTTTTTTTTGGAGAAGATTTATCATTTTTTGATTGTAAGGAATATAAATATATATGACGTTGGGGTTAATTTAAAAAAAAGTTCAATGGCAAATGAGAGCAAGTCTTTCTTGAGAATAAATTATTGCACTTTATGAGCATGAAATTGAACCTAATGACCTCTTGTAGCGACAGAAAAGAGGGAGCAAAGGTTCACTTTTAAGTATTATATACATACAAGTAGTTACCGTGCTCTTACAAAGTTACCTCATAATGCGTTTAAAATCCAAAAAAAGGAAAGTCTTTGATGTCAAAAAATTTGTACATAAAGGAAAATTTTTTTCCTCCTTTAATTTTTATTTTATTCATCCACCTATTAATTATATTCAAGTAAATTCTCTTCAATATATTTTTCCACATTTTAAATTTTTCCAAAAAGCAAAATTATATTTTAATTATAGAAAAAAAAATTTATAATATATAACAGCGGCAATTATGTTTATTACTCGTTGCTTTCACTATTTTTTGGAGCAGAAAAATAATTAATAAAAAAATTTATAATTAATATATATTAATAACAATGCTTTTCTTATTATTTTATTCTCTCATAATAATAATAGTTTAACAACAATAATAATAATAATAATAACAATAGTAATAATATTAATTATTATAATTATAATAGTAAAATATAGTAATGTCCGAAAATATAAATTTTTTTCTTCTATACCTAATTTAATTTTTCATGGTTTTTTATTTTTTCTATCAGTGGAGGGAGGGGGGAGATATTTGGCGTGATTATTTTGTTATACAATTTAATGAAGCACAGTGGGAACATTTAACGAGATGATTATTTGCTTGTCGAACATATTTATGTGGTTTAACCTCTAATCTATTGGGAGACAATGTAATAAGTATTTAACACAATAAATGAATAAATTATTCTGGTGATATATTAAGTATCGCGACTGCGCGTTCTATATTATGTAGGTATGTACGTATATGGTATATATATACACAAAGTACTCATGGACGTTCTGCGGATCATTAATTTCACTAATTGCGAGAGGACTTGCCCACTAGAGTCTATTGACGTACAGAGAGAAACGTGTACACAATGAGCCACCGTAATATCCTTTACACACCAAATTTGGATTTGCTTAAGTGCTGAACCAAATATTCCCATATAACTATATTAATTTTAAATCGTGACTAAGTGCGGATGTTAATTTATAGTAATTGCAATTATAATATATATGTATTATCTCAATCTCAATATTATAATAATAATAATGGTAATAGTAATTTATTTATTAATTTATATATGTAAACGAGCGACGAATAATAATAATAATCCATTTACGTAAACGTGCTACAAATAATAATAATGATAATAATAATATTATTAATAAAAATAGAAATTAAATTATTAAAGAAAATTAATATAATTTTTAAAGTTACGAATTTTTCAGTCATGGGTTATTTATCTTAAATATTTTTCATTAATTTTTTTAAATAAATTTTCGAAATATTAATTCGCTATAAAAAATGATCCACAAGTTTTGAACGTTCAAATGAACGAAACACTTTTTATTAGAAATGTTTTTATAATTTATTGTTTGCAATAAAAATTAAAAACTTAAATTTTACACTTAGAAACTTTATAATTCATTTATTTTATATCGACAAAAATTATTGTAATAAATATTCAAATTAAAGAAAAAAATAAATAAATTTCGTTCATTTGAACGTTCAGAACTTTAGGATCATTATAAAAATTCGAATGTTCAAATGAAGGACGATTTCTTTTTATATTTCGTTAAAATTTGAATTTTCCTAGAAAATATTTTTTTCGTAATTTAGAAAATTAATTCTGTCCTAAAAATGTTGAATTTTTTATATTTTTAATTTTATTCTTAAATAATTTTTGAAAAATAAAATAGAAAAAAATATTCGCTCATTTGAACGTTCGGAACTTTTAGGAAAATGAAATACATAAAATTAAAAAGATTTCTAATATTTTGAAATCTTTTAAAATTTAATTGAAAATAGTTGATATTTTTCTAGTATTTTATTTCAATTTTTGAAAATCAACTTTTGAAGGAATTAAATTATATAAATTTGTGCGAAAATAATTGAATTCTCAAAAATTTCAATGAAAAATCTTTTAGTATTTTAAAATTAAAAATTAATGAAACTTAGCTTATAAGAA